ACTTTTGATTTATTCTCCTTTTCAGAAGCTGTTTGTATTTGACTTTTTATTAATTGCAAAGGGATTTAGTATTAAAAGAAAACTAGATGTAGAAACAAACTTGTCCATTATTAATGGGCTTTCAAGTTATTATTAAAAGTTTTACACTCATGTCAGATTGGGTGCAGACAGAATATAAAGTGCTTGGGAATAAAAACTGTGTCTCAGCTTATAGATTTCTTTTCACCCCCAACACTGTAGTACTTCGCAATCTCCCTTAACTGACAGGTCCCTTATGGTTTCATAGAGGACTACCTGGTCACTGATTGCTAGGAAATACTCTTGTGTTTCCTTTGCCCATCACAAATATATTATTTGAAAAGTATAGCTACTGATAAAATAAATAGATTTTTTTTCATGGTAGCTAGACTAGGGATTTAGTCTATTTTAAGTTTAAATTACATCATTTTAAAACACGATGATGTATCAGTTTCCATTTGCGTATTTTTTTTCAAAACCAACTTGATTTTTTGTTTTGAAAAAAAAAAAAAAAACAACTCTTATGTTCCATCTTGTGCCTTTCCCTATTTGCTTTTCTTTACACACATTGTAAATCCAAATAAGCCATTGCTTTATGTAAACACAAAATTTTTAAAAAGTGTATAATATACCATTTTGTATGCTGTGAGGTAAGCTTAACAAGATTTGTATGTAATCTGCAAAAATTAGTTTCTTAGGCTACTAAAATTTGATTCTTCTTATACTGAAAAATGGGACTATGGCATTTTTTTTCCCTGTTGAGTCCTTTTAATTATTGAAATAAAGATCAAGGCTGAGAAGTTTTATCTTTTAATATTTTCATGCTTTGAATATTAGCTTCCTAGAAAATATAGCATGGTTTTGGGCATAATGTTTATAGCCCAGTCTTCTGGAGTTAAGAAAAACTATCCTAGCTACTCTCAGTTAACCCTTTGTTTTCCTTAGAATCTTTAAATCATGGATTAGAAGAACATTTATGAGTTATATAAGCCAAGTAATACGTTTTCACTGTTCACTATTACTTTCAAATTATAAGTGGTATGCAAACATTCTCTGGCCATTATCAATAATGTTACTCTATATCATTTTATAAAGTTTTGTTAGGATCCTAAATCCTAAGCTAAAAAAATTGTTTTTTGTTGCATAAATACTTGATTTCTTTGATTCAAAACCATTTATTTGGATGTATGTACCAATACAGCGTTCTCTTCTAGGTCTGCATTGCTTCTCTTCTGTACACGTTTCTTGGTTGTTCTTATGTATTCTACTCTCCTGGTATTAAATAACATGTGTATATACTGATGACTTCCAAATCTGTATCTTTGGATTTCTCTCCTGAGCTCAAGACCCACATTACTTACCTACAGATATCACCAACATAGCTGTCCCATAGACCCCTCAAATTTAGTGTATTAAAAACTAAACTCATTCTTTACCTCTAGCCTTAAACAGTGATACCATGTATGTCATTTTGTGTTTCATAGTGACAAAGTATAGTATCAATTCCTATCTTGAAAAATAAAATATAGTGGAGTTAAATTTGGAAGCACTTGTTAGCTTTGCTTTCAAATAACCATTGTTTTACCAAGTAGAGATGAATGGTATGTATGTGCTATGTCAATAAAGGTATGAAGAACACAGAGAAACATCGAAGAGGAGAGAAAGGCCGGGCTTGGGCAAATTTTTTTATGAATGAATATTGATAGGCATTTGTAGCTAGAAACAAAATTATGAAGAAATTTTTTTGAATGGATTGCATAAAAAGTTTTAAGACCTTTAGAAGTAAGATAGATTATGGGGCACCTGGGTGGCTCAGTCGTTAAGTATCTGCCTTTGGCTCAGGTCATGATCCCAGGATCCTGGGATCGAGCCCCGCATCAGGCTCCCTGCTCGGTGGGAAGCCTGTTTCTTCCTCTCCCGCTCCCCCTGCTTGTGTTCCCTCTCTAGCTGTGTCTCTCTCTGTCAAATAAGTAAATAAAATCTTTTTTTTTTTAAAGAAGTAAGATAGATTAAAACTACAGATAAAAATTCGATCATTTAAAAATATTGGTAATTAAAAAGTAATAATAACCGTTTTTATATTAAAATGTAGCAAAGGGCGCCTGGGTGGCTCAGTTGGTTAAGCGACTGCCTTCGGCTCAGGTCATGATCCTGGAGTCCCGGAATCGAGTCCTGCATCGGGCTCCCTGCTCGGCAGGGAGTCTGCTTCTCCCTCTGACCCTCCCGACCTTCCCCCCCCTCGTGCTCTCTCTCTCTCAGTCTCTCT